CGCCCGCCGAAGCCACTCGCTGAGGCGGAGTCGCGTAATGGCGGCCGCCGCGCCCGCCCCGCCCCTTTTACCTCACAGCGACGCGCCCGCCTCCGCTTCTCCCCCCTCCTGCCGCTCCCTCCGCCTTCCTTACGGTGGCCGCGGGCTCGCCGGTGGCGGCCGGTTGTTGTCCCCGCTCGGCGGTCTGGCCGGGTCGGGTTAAAGCGGTGAGGTGAGAGGCTCAGCCGGGTTATCGTCTTCGCCGTTTTTGGCGATGTCCGAGGGTGAGCAGGCCCGGCGAGGCCCTAGCCCGCCTTTTCACCGACAAACCGGGAGCTGGGCCGGGCCCTGAGCCGCCCAGGGCAGCGGGGTAACCCCGCAGTAGGCGCTGAGGAGCCGGCGAGGCCCGGAGCTGCCCCGGCTGAGGATGGGGATCCTCTTCACCAGGATATGGAGGCTGTTCAACCATCAGGGTGAGGAGCAAGGCGGCGGGGGAGGCCCTCTGGCCGCGCAGGTGCCGGGCCGGGCCTGAGGGCGATCGCCGGCGGGGTGAGGGGACGGGTGCTCGCCGCTTGGGAAACCGCTTTTGGGGGGGAGGCGGGAGGGCTCGGTACGGCCGGGTTGGGTAGGGAATGGGTGCCAGCCCTTGTAAACCGCCACAGCTTTGGCCACCGGGGCTAAAGGGCGAGGTGACGGCGCTCCTCTCAGCCCTGGCCGGAGAGGGGGGGGGTGGCCCGGGAGGACAATCTGCGGCCCGAAAAGTTGGGGAGGGGGGGGTTTAACCTTTTTTTTTGGTTTTTTTTCCTCCTCTAAGTCACGGGGAAGCTCGTTTCCTGGAAGGTGGATGTTAAATTATTAACGGGTACCGAAAGAATATAGCAGTGTTGCGTGGTAGCGTGTAGTTTCATCTTGTCGTCTGCAGAGTAGGCTTTATTAACGGGTTTGAGCGATAAACCTCCCTGTCTGGCAAAATTGCTCATTTGTGGAGTAAATATTATTTGTAACGCCTGTCTCCTTACAGTAAGGTTTTAATCAGAGTTGTAACTTTAACTATAAATCACATGCTGACGCTCTTACCCATGTTTATAAGGTCTTCTAAATTTGATTTTGAGTAAACTTCAGTATGCTTACACATGCACGTTGAATGTCCCAATGATATGCCCGTTAACACTTAGTGCAAATGCAACAAAATATTTTTGTCTTGTAGCATCCAGCCCCACCTCAGATCTTCTGTTCCAGCTGATTTCCTAACATCCACTATGCTGGCAACATCACACCAGAAACAAAAGTTCCTAGTTATGTGGGGTCAGGTAAGCAGATATTTTTACAATATTGTGCAGTTATGCAAAGTTATTAAAACTGGAATTTATATTTGAATGTATATAAGACAACTCTGCAAAACCACACAATATTGATAAAACCAAGAAAACCCCACTTACCTGACCCCTATCCCCTCCCTCTCTCCTCTGTGATAAATCAATGCAAGTGTACTTTGCTAACAGAAGGAATTGATCTCTGGTTGTCTGAAGCTTGGGCAGATTTATAATGGCTTTTTGTTGCCCTTGTGGACCACTGGGGAGGGGGGGGCAAGAAAGCCCCTTCTCACAAAGCTTTTACTTGCATGAATAGTCCCGTTGAAGCCAAGGTTATTTGTGCAAGTAAAAGTTGTGTAATATAGCTGGGAGCAGGCAGTGCTCGCTCATCCTGGAAATCATAAATCTGAATGTGCTTGACAACACCAGCTGTAGAATTCAAATTCAATTTTGTGATGTATAGGAAAGAAGGTGCTAAATAGAAACAATAATTGATTCTGGCATTGAGCTCCAGAATGTGTTCGCGTATGTGTCAGAGCAGTTTTGTGTAGTCCTCATTGGTTCATCTAAAACTAAATTGGGTGAATGCGTACTGTAAAATATTCGTAGGCAAATCTGTTCTCCAGGTTCCAAACCTGCTGAAGGGAAAAGAGGACACTGAGGGAGACAGGTGGATCACCCTGCTTACAGTGCAAATTGCTGTGGTTTTTAACAACTCTTTGCAAAGAGATTAAGATGTTGCAGGTCATAATAAAAGTATGGCCTTGGAAACGACCATTAAACATGTAAGCATGTGTTCTGGAGAGTTGCTGTAGTTGGGGGGGAATAGAGAGTACAGTCTGTTACAATCCGCAAAAATGTGTAGAAGCTTGGGAAAGGTTTCCAGCATGAAATTGCTCTAGCAGTTTAGAGAAGGAAAAAATCCGCATGTAGTCTCTCAGAAATTGTTCCTGTAGATGTGCAGATGGGGAAAAATTGACAGTCACTTACCTGCTCAGAACAGTACACGGGTTTGTACACCTCCACAGGCAGATGAACTTTTAGGTATGGTCCATGAAATGTGGCACCTGAAGTTTGGCAGTGTTTGTTTAGGAAATTGGACTAAAATGCAACACTAACCTTGTTTCATAACACAGTTGTTATCGTGATAGCAAAGTTAACTATGTGACTTACTAATGATATTTTTATTTCAGAGCACAAAGTAATCATTGTTGGCCTGGATAATGCAGGAAAAACCACCATTCTTTATCAATTGTAAGTATGAACTGCAGATGATGTTTCGTGTATTTCAAGGTGGGCATTGTATATATTACTCGGACTTGCTGTTGCTGCTTTCCCTGTTAGTTTTTACTTTGAGAGCATTACACTGAAGATTACTGAACAGTATAGGTGTCAGTGGGTCAAAGCGTGTGTTTAGAATTTGGAAAGGTCTGTATTTTGTCTGGTATATGAATAACGTTTTGTTCAGAGCTTTTATTTATCGGATTACATTGCAATTACCACTTAATCACAACTGCCTTTGGTGTCACCATGTAGGCTGTTTGCCAATTCCATAAAATATGATTCTGTTGAGGGCTGGCCACAGGACAATGCTGCTAAACCGATCCATGCCGCAGCATGTAAATAGTAAACAAATTCTTCTGTGAGTAGCAAAGCAGTGAAGCTTGACCTCTCCCTGCCAGGACTTGTGTCCTGTGTACCGAGATGTACTTTCATATCGTTTGTGGTATGGGATGATGGAGGAAGGCTGAGCGCTGGCTGAACCCAGGACAGCATAGCTCTGCAGCTGGTGGCAGCCCATGCTGTCATGCAGTTTCTGCCTTTAATAGTGGCATTGACTTTTGTTTGTCTTGCATTAACCTTGCTGCTGGTTTGCATGAAACTTGAATGAGCTTCGTATTTCTGGTCCTCAGCTGCATTTTGATAAAAGGGTACAAATTTGTCCACAGACTCAGAAGTTTCTAGGTGGGACAGGCAACTCAAGGTCTGTTTCTAACAGAAACAGTTGTGGGATTTCTCATGTGAAGTAGTCTGGTACTAGGAAGTGTTCCTGAGTCAGTATCAGAAATAATTCCTGTTAAGTGATGTGGCCATACTGGTCCAATCCTACACTTAAAATATGCTTTCTTAAAACGTTTGGGTTTTGTTAAATTATGGTCTGCTTTTGCTTTTCTGAAACGTGAAACTCATGCAGCATTTCCAGCCACTTATGCCCTAGAACACTCTGCAGAGAAAGTGAAAAGATGAAGGTGGTTGTCATTATTTAAATCGGGAGTGAGAGATTTTAAAAAGCGTAAATAGAATGAAGAATATTTTTTAAGACTAGTAACTGCTGCAGCTGAGGGCCGTCCTCAGTGCATTTTAATGCTGCATGTGTCTTTCCACTTCCTCCACAAATGTCTCATGATTCTTCTCATCTTCTTATTTCTGCAGTCTCAGTGTTTTCTTTTCCCTTTTGTACAGTGGATCTCTGTATGCCTCCTTTTCCTTTATACCCGTTTTAGCTCCACAGGACTTCCCCTTTTCTTGTATTCCCCTTCCCCTGTTTGCCGCTTTGACAGACCTCTCTGAGCACTGTACTCTGTTCCTCCTGCTTGACTCCTCCTTAAACCCTACCTCCATCTGTGCATATCCCATTTTTTCTCTTACCGTTTCCTTGTGGCAGATGAGTGTCCTGAGCATGATTGTATATGTTTAACTCTTTTAATAAGAGATGGGCAGAGATAACTAGTAGGACAACTACTGTTGGTTAGTGCACCGGCTGTTACTTTGATGTCGTGAAGGGTCACAGCAGACGTTGGAGTGGTGATTCTTCTAACAGATCACAGCAGCTCCACAGACACTTCATTTCTTCCCATTCTGGTACGCACATCTCCTCCCTCCCTCCATGCCCTCAGGTAGCAGTAGGATTTTGTGATCAGGTGTCTAGAAATGCCATTAAGCTTCATGCTCACCTTGTTTCAGTGGGGAGGAGGGAAAAATCCACCTATCGTATCGCAAACTGCAAGATGCCAGCAGTTTGAATGCGAAAGGCTGCAGGTTCAGTCAAGGAAAGGGGATTCATGATATGTCTCTTCCAAGCATTAAAAGAACTCTGTTAAAACCTGTTTTTTAAAAATGAAATTGGCCACAGGCATCTTCTTATATCATTGTTATCCTTAATCTGATTTTATGGTTCTTTCTTCTAATCCTTCTCTTTCCTTTATATAGTTGCCTTCAAATGTGTGTGGTGAAAAGGTTTCTTGTTATATGCTGCTAAGACACTGGGTAACTGGGTTTCCTTTTCAGAACACTGGACCATCCCTTTATCTCCTTGGTTTTCCGTAACTTCTTCAAGAAATATTCTAGCACTGTTAAAAGTCTTAAATTGCTGTCACTGTTAACTGAAAGCTCTGCTAAAGGTTCAAGAAATGCTCGTTTAAAATGAGAAAATATATGATCAGAAGAAAAAATAATTAAGTTCTTTGAAAATGGTTGACATTTTCCTTGAAGCTACTTTTAATTTTTTTGCATATTCCAGACAGCAGAGTTTAAATAATTTGAACTTCAGGAGTATCCAGGGTACACGTTTGGTTATCACTATTGATGTGCAACTGGTGGTCTTAATGACAAAGTTGCACTCAGTATCTCTAAAACAAGAGATTTGAAATATTTAATGTCTGCATTTGTCTCCAAAAAGTAGTGTTATTGGACTGTGCTGAAAGGAGAAGAGGAGGAAGTTTGGACGTAAAGCAACTGAATTGTGAAGAAAGTAGCTCTTAGTGGCCTACACTGGAAGGAGAGCGAGGTGTAGTATGTTTGGTGGAGCTGGATGATGAGCTGTTTTTCTGCAACCTTGGAAATCTTCTGGCTTAACCACATTCTTGAAGCAAAACAACTGCTCTCTCCCATGCGTGCCAAAATCAGCCTGGAAAAAGAAAAGCTGACTGCTTAAAACAGCTTCTGAAGCAAATATTCTCTCAGCTTTATGATTTAATTATAATACAGTTTTGTTCATGAATGCTCTCTCAGCTCTATAATTCAATTATTACATAGTTCACTGAGTCCTTTTTTTAACGCTATTTTTATTTATTTTTATTCGCCTTCCACCGTCAAACCTTATCTCTCTTTGCTGCATAAGGAGTGTTCGCTATAATTGTCCCACTAAGCTTTCTACCTCGGAATAACCATCAACTTTAGTTTTGATAGAAGTAGGTCAATTTGGAATCCTAAAACGCTCAATAATGCAGGTAACTTGCCAGTTTTTGCCGTTTCTCACCGAGTCGCTCTCTTCCCCCTGCAGCTCCATGAATGAAGTGGTGCATACCTCGCCCACCATAGGGAGTAACGTGGAAGAGATAGTGGTTAACAACACGCGCTTTCTGATGTGGGATATCGGAGGGCAGGAGTCTCTTCGGTCTTCGTGGAACACCTACTATACAAACACTGAGGTGAGAATGAACGCCTTGCTGGAAGACTCAGTGTGACCATTGCTGGTGAAGGGAGTGCAGCATACCCGAGATCTGTACCGGACACGCTTCCAGAGGGCTGTGTTTGTGCTTTGAATGTTACCCTAGCTACTTCAGGGTACTCCTGTTTTGATTTTTGAAGTCTCCTCCTGAGCAAGCTGTTGTACAGCTCGCTTTTATATTTCTTGTGTAAGATGCATAGTATGGAGTTGCAATTAAAAACAATTTGTAAGGATTCTGTGGCTGGGGATCTGTGGCCTTTAGGGTGGGTACTCAGTTTGTCTCAGTATTGCAGATCCCCATGTTCACAGGTCCTCCCTTGTGGACCATGACGGCTCTATCTCTGTAGCAGGTACTCCAAAACCTGTCTAACCCCTCAGGAGTAAGACTGAAAGCCTAAAAGTTTTCCTTCAAGACTGTGGGAACTTTGTCTTGCAAGCTCCCGTGACCAATTTACTTAAGCACCCCCAAGAATTTTAAGAGCTCTTTAGCAATGAAGTTGCAGCACATATACCGAACTTGATTAAATAATGATTTAAATCAAGGTTTCCTATGTGTTACCAAATGTGGTTTTAAAAAGAAGTTATTTTTTATAATAATTAACTTTGTTCTCCTGTGCTTCCCTGTAAGATGCTATGATGTGTATCTGCATGTATGGTCTTGAACTATGAAGCTTATGGGTTTTTTTTAAATCCCTTGCAAATATCTGTTTGCATGTTAGTATTCGAAGTAGAGGGAGAAAGCTGATACAATTTACCTTTTTAAGGCTGCAGCAAATTGTTTGAGGGATCTGCGTGCTACCTCAGTTGTGCTAAGCAAAGAACAAAAACAGATCCAGGATTATAGAGAAACGCTTGCTTTCAGTATAAATTTTTCACTTGAAAATGGAAAACGGAAAGTCAAAATATGTGTCAGGACTACCTTTGTATACAAGCCATGGCATAAGCTGTCAATTGTACCAGTGCTACGGGTAATCACGCTCTGGCTGGGAGAAGTGTATCTGGAATAGGGTGGTATCTGATAATCCAGCTGACTGTCTAGATAATGTGATGGGAACAGTAACCTGTTCGGCTGACAAGTGTGCGGCCAGAAAGATAGAGTTTGTTCTCTGACTAACTTTTAACTTTTTAAAGTTTGTGATAGTTGTTGTGGACAGCACAGACAGAGAGAGAATTTCTGTGACTAAAGAAGAACTGTATAAAATGTTAGCACATGAGGTGAGTAGACCCTGTGTTTTCTTTGTTTTATTATTTATTGTGGGTAAGATCTGGATGATACATGTTTAAGGGAAGCAGATTTGCAAGCTGTTTGTGAAAGTTCTCACTTATGCCTGCTAGCTGGAGACAGACCAGTATGGAGAGAGGCCTCTCCAAGTGAAGCCCAAGGCAAACATTAACAGTCACATTCTCCCAGCTGTGGGTAGTACTGTATCAGAGCTGTCTTGTTCCTGCTAGAGGCTCTGTCTTTTGTGAAGCTCGCAATAAAGCTGTAAATTAATACCAGATTACTGAAGAGGACTTCCACAAAAATAGCTTTTCAACTTCTGCGTACTTCAGTGAAACAGAAGTCAGGACCTTTAAATGACTTCTGTGGGTTTTATACTTCAATCCATGTTAATAGCTGAATGAGATTATTTTAAAAAACATTGTTTCCTCCAACAACTTAATTACTATTTTTGATAGCTTCATGGTTGCTTGATGTTTTCTGTTTTCGTGGTGAAACAGATACAGCCTTAATAATATGTCTTAGAGCAACCAGCTATAAAACTGAAGAAACGGACTGCCTATAGCTATAGTAGCCATCATTCTACGTGTACATGGAATTACAGAATGAGAGTATAATTCGCTAACTTGTAAAGACCCTCTTTAAAACTGAGCCCTGTGTCAGGTTTAAAACTGAGCTGTCTGGGTGTGATTCAGAAATACTGGACTGCCGTGTAAGCCAAGGAGCACCTATTGCATGACCTGAATGTCCCAAAGACTTAATCTAGCCATGCAGTGCAGCAGGACCAAAACCCTGATTTTTACTAAAGATGTGTTTGTATAAGGTTGGCTACTGCTGAGACTCGTAAGATGAGTTCAATGGAAACTGGATCAGTTTGTATGAGATGACACTGAGCTTCCAAATATAAGTGTCAGAATACAAAGATGTACATAAAATGGATGGCATTGTATCCCAAAATATTATGTCTATATTTAAACTGTAGCCACTGTTTAGTAGATGACTGCAGGAAAGGCAAAGACTGCCTCTGTATTTCCTTTGAGTGACCATGGTAATCTGAAGCATTTGAGAAAAAACAAGTGCTTTGCCTGGTGTCTTGAATTTCTAATTTTGGGTATTTAAATGAAAATTATGTTTAATAAGATCTAATAAAGTAGGTCTGACTTTCTTGGTTTGGTGGAGTGTTAAATGTGGCATGGAGGGACTGTTGCCATTGGGCCTGCTGCTGTCATAATTAGAATTTCAGAAATGTGCTCTTCAGTCTGTTGCGGTTGCTAAACAAAATTGCATCTTCTGTTTTTTAATCTATAAAGGAAGATGCAGAAGTTGTTAACAAACTGAATTTGAAATGAGGGAAGTCTGGAACTCCAAGCAGCATGAATGCCCTTGCTTCGTGTTGGGAGACTATTTCTGTGCTCCAAAAGCACCCATCTAACAGTAAAGGTGCCCATTGTTTTACGACAGGATGTTTTCAGTATATTCTGCTAACTCTCCAGGTGCTATGCTGTTTGAAGAGAACAACAATACATAAAAGCTGAAATGAAAGTCAGGTGTTTATTTAGAATAGGTTTTCCTTGCAGTCCTTGAAAATCTTTTATTTCTGCTAATCAATTCAATTGCATTTTTGTTAAGGCAAAAATGAGTTGCCCGGGTCAGTTCCAGCTATTTTCTGGCCGGTAGATCGTTTGGGAATTAATATTACTGCTTGTAAAAATTAACATGTCTGATAGGCATTTAGGTGAATGAGTTGTCTCAGCTTCCTGGGAAGACCTTTTTGCTTTCGGAGGGACAGATTTTCAGTAATATGTGCCTGCACTAGTGTTATTCCAAGCAGTCTGAGATACAATAAGCTTGTCCCTAGAGTTGCTGTTCTCAGTTAGGACTGATGTTTTAAATATTGCACGGGCCTTATAAAGAAGTCTACTGCAGTGTGCTTTTTCACGTAGATGTCCATCCTTTGATTCTAAAGCAGTGTCAGTGATGATTTTCTACAAATTCTGTGTATCCTCTAGATAAAATATTACTGCAGCTTGCTTTACACTGTCAGTGGCAGTCTGAATGCTTCTTAATCGGTGGGATTACCCTCGCAGAGGGCTGCTGCATAGGCAGAGCGTACTTCTGGCTCTGGTGAGCCACGCTGCCAGGCTGGGTGCCAGCACGCACGCTGCTGGCACTTACTGCAGTCAGGCTTGGCAAGGTTTTACCAGTGCTTAAAAAGTTCTGGTGGGGTAACCCACGCTTGCCCCACCTAAGAACTGCTGCACAGTCTGCTAATTTGGGACTAAAATCAATCTTAACAGTGTGGTAGTACATAAAAGTGTGGCGTGTGGATAAAAGCCAGGCTCAGGAGAATGCAGTGGTTGGTTTGGATACACAGGCAGGAATGACCTGGAAGGTCAGGGTTAAACGGGAGGCCTTGACTGTTCGAGGTGTGTGGTGTTACTGCAGCTGCGCACACAAGAGATACAGGGTGCCTCTGATCCTCACGGAGCACAACAAAATATTCTACCTGGTTTTACAGATCATCGTAGGCAAAAATTGGACGTTTGGTCTGCTGGATCAAAGGATTTTCTGAAGTTACATGTCAATCAGCCTGTAGTGTTTTTATAGTTTAGGTTTTTTTGCTAGGGCTTAAGGTTCTCTGCTTTGGTATCACTTCTTGTGCCTGAGGGCTGATTTATAATCATCTTTTTTCTTCTTTCTCCCTAGGACTTAAAAAAAGCAGGTTTGCTGATCTTTGCTAACAAGCAAGATGTTAAAGAGTGTATGACAGTAGCTGAAATATCACAGTTTCTGAAACTAACTTCAATTAAGGATCACCAGTGGCACATTCAGGCATGCTGTGCTCTAACTGGAGAGGGGTAAGAGTTATCCTTGTCTGTAGGAGGGAAATCTTGAATTATTTTGGTATTTTTATTGTGGCGTTTGGTTTTAACACACATTCCTCTCCTGTCAATAATAACCTTACGCTTAAAGATTTTTGGGCTCAGAACATACTGACTTAGGATCAGTGTGATCTGAAAACCAACTTTCACATCAAATCCACAGTCTCACCTCACAGTGATAAAACTTAATACGATTTGGGCCTAATGAGGGCAGGGGTGGGAATAACCTAAAACCTGTTCTGGTTTATTAAGAATAATCATAATTAGAGATAACTTCAGTATATGTCTTGAAGTGCTGGGATCTGAAGTCTCTCACCAGTAGCTTGCATAATAAGATCTAGGAAATACTGCACTCTGAGTGAATTGTTTCTGGAAACGATGCCTTCAGTCAGAATTACAGAGTTCTCGGCAAGAATTTAAATTGGTGCCATGGAATTTTCTTTGAAGTTATCCTGTGAAGTGCATGTATTCCTTAAATTATCTCTTTCGTTTACAGACTGTGCCAAGGACTCGAATGGATGATGTCAAGACTTAAGATCAGATGATTTTTAATGACCTCTTTGCACAGACATTGCTTAAAAAGAGCAGTACCCAGGATTACCTTCACAGTGGCAGAATTAATGGGTTAGATGTATTTATACTGAACTGATTTCAACTTTATTTTCTACATAGATGCACACACACATACGTGTATATAAATTAAGACCGTTCAGCAAAAAGGAAGATGCAATTGATAGCTCCAGTTTGGTTTCCTTTTTGTTTTCCTCTGAGGATGTGTTTAAAAGCTGTGATCAACCTTCTTTTCAAGATACAGCCACTCAGAACAGTCCAATGTCGAGCATGGTGAAGATGAAGTGAGAGGAAGGAGCTTTTAATTTTGAGTTTTATTATTCCATTGTAGTCCTCTCTAGTTGAAGATGTTGGCTTCATTATTCCAGCAAATTAGCAAGCAAATCAATGGCATAGATATCAACTTTCCAGTATTTTTAAGGTTACTGATGTTACAAATGCAAAAATATTTTCCTGTACGTGTACTGTACATATTTGTGGATATTTATACCTCAATTTTAGGTTAATTGCAATCTGTTCAGACCAGTGTGTAAAGCTGAATCAGTATGTTGACAGTAGTACTAATATTTGACATCGCCAATGTGTCGCAACTTCTTTTCCGTTGTTACCCGTATGGCTGTAACATCCATCAGACAGTTGGCTCACCACAACTTTATAAAGCAAACTCTCTCTTAAGACCATTGCTTGTTTTTCACATGATTTTTCAGTTAGGGAGGATGCCGTAATGGATTGGGGCCTATGGATTGAGCTTCAAATTACAGTGTCAGCAAACAGTAAAAATTTGCCAAAGAGTTTAAAATGAAACGGATTTTCTTTTTTTATTGTAGTCATCATTGGATTAGGTGATCCCAAAAAGTGCATGTTGTGCTGTCCTATGGTACTGCTTTTCTTTTTTTTGCAGTACTGTTCATTTATGATTCAAGTCTGGTATAAGTACCTTTAGCTGTCATAAAGGGAAAAATGTCATCTTTTTTTTTTTTTTGTCCCTTAACCAAAGAAGAGGCACAAAAGTATGTTTAAAAGTCCCACTGGAATCTTGCAAAACAAGTCATACTCTGTATTAAGTGTTTTTCAGAGGAAGGCACACTTCTCTTTGATAGCATAAAATGTATATATATCTATATGCAATAGATGGAACTGGGATGGGGAACAAAACAGATTACGCTACTTGAAAAGCTGAAAGTGACCCCTTGATGATGTTCCCACAGAAGGTCCAGGGCAGTACTTCTTGAAAATATAACTCCCTTGCATGGTCCCCAGGTGAGTTATAAAGAAGTGTCAGAACACTATGTGATTATCTTTTCTTACTGTAGTACCTAATGGGATGGATGTCCCATACAGAAGTTGTTCAGAGTTACCATTTTAAAGAATACAGGCTTTTCAGTGGGATGACAGTTGGATGGTTTGAAATGTCATCGGTATTGTGAAAGTGTACGTAGCCTTAATCATAGGCTTTTATGCTGGACATGTATGTTTGGGCAGTATAGCAAAATGAAATAAAATTTTGTTTAAGATGTCCTTCCCTTTCTTAGCTCGTACATCTGGTAAGGATGGAAAAGACATTTTAAAGAAAAAGCTTAGTTTGAACTTTTTAAGGTGGTTATCTTTGGTGATGGGATAATCTAGTCAGCGTACCTGCCTTCCCATTTGCCTGCTTCACTGGGGATTATGTTGTGAATTTGGGGAGAAGAAGGGAGGCAATTTCAAAAGTCTGTATTTAACAAAGGCAGGTAAAGAATTTAACTTTTTAATATATTTTTGGTATCTCTTTATGATGCTCACTGGCTAGGGAATCTGCTGTCTTTGTTAAACATTTTAATGTGTACATGCATATATTTATAGTGCATGCACATAGATATTGGTATTTAACTGGTGTATTGCAAAATGTATAAATGTTCAAAGAAGTAACGATTTAATGCAAAGACTCTCAGTTCATCTGATAGTATCTTCAAGAAACGAGCTCTGTTCACACTTGCATATGAAGTGGAATTGTACGTTTTCTAGTCTTAAAAAAGAAAAAGCAGACTTGCTTATAAACCTAAGTGTTTGGTTTTTGAGTCTTATGTCTTCCCTTTCATCCCTTTAAAATATTTTGCTTTAGTATTGTTAAATACTGCATATTTTTGCCTGAATCTGCACAGGTTGTATGTGTTGGGTTTTTGTTTGTTTTTAAGAAAATGAGTTGTTCCTGTTGATGAGAGAAAACTCATGGAGCGGTATTCCGGTATCCGCTTCTTGCTGAAATTTGCTGCTTACTGCCTCCCTTAAGTTTGTAGGACTTAGTACGTCCATATAAGGAAAGTGCGGTGGTTTCTTCCAGGTACGGCTTAGGTTGCAACCAGACATCTTATGTTTACACAGAAGTAAACTTAAGTTTACTCTTTTTCCCTCTCAGTATCATGGCCACTTCTAGTTTCTGTGGCCTCCAAGGTACTGCGTGGTTCACTTCATCTTTGTTTCACAAGTGGCAACAGACCCTAGTAGGGAGTTGGAAATAACTGTGCATGTGAAGACTGGCTGTTAAAACAATGTCTTTTGTGCCCTAAAGGGTTTTTAATCCGAAAATTAAGTCGTCTCTGTGTTGGATGGTAAACAATCCAGCCTTAACCTGACTACAAAAAAGGTGTGTGTCGTGTCACGTATGATGATGAGTTTTCTATCTATTTTGTGATACCATAGTATTTTAGAGGGTAGATATGCTCTTCAGTAGCTAGAATTCAGTGGTGGCCAATGCTTACTGACACATCATGTGCCTGTTGCATTCTTGACTGGGGCTTAGAAATCAAAGGAAGACACCCCTTCATTTTAAATGCTGGATTTGCAGTCTCTGTTAAGGATGATGGATTTTGTCTATAATAGCTGGGCAACTCTTTGTCACCCTGTTGTAAACGGAGATGACGATTCCAGATTCTTACCTTGCATGGTTGGTGTGATCGTGCTTTTAAGTGCAGCGAAGCATAGCGAAAGCGGAATAGCGTTATCCGGATGTTGCAGTGGAAGCTTTTGTAGGAACTGTTGTCTGCCTGGAGGTTCTTTGTGAGAACAAGTGTGTTTGCTCAGATACTAACAAGATGAACGTTAGAAGAATATACAAATATATACCCTCATGGTAGCGTTGTGGCTGTGACGGTTCTTTCCTATACACCTTGCCTTTTGTGTTGAGTTAGAAATGTTTTTAAATTTAGTCACCTAATAGAGCTGGAGAAGAGCAGACAAATTCTTGAATGCACAAACCCTTTTTGTATGTGCTTCTTGTTTACAGCTTTTTTTCTTTTCCCTGTAGGACAATTCACATTTTTCTCACAACTCTGTCCATAGAAAAGCAAGTTAGCTGCTTTCAACTTCACTGGGTTATTGTTTGGAAGTGATTGTCTTAACATGAGTCATGACCTTGATTTGTATTGCTGTTGTGTTTTCACCCCGTGTGTGTTGTGTTGCCTTGGCTTTCAGCTAAAGTTTAAGATTACTTTGCCTTTGTTCTTCATGAAATTCCTTCTTAGGATATTACACAGAAAAAGGGAGGGGTCTTTAAAAATGGTTATTTAAGTTTATGCTGCAGAATGCCATTTTACTAGCAAAAAAACTATAGCAGTAAGTCATATTTCAATAATCTAATGTTTGAAATGTTTCTTTTGGCTTAGCAGATAATAAACTTGGTAAATCATGTCTATAATATGCTGCCTCGGTGATCTGAAAATTATGCAGGTTTTTAATTGTGAGGAAAGGTGGACTAGAGAGCTTGGAAAATGTGAACAGCGACCTACCTAGCTTCATTTTTTCATTTTTTTATTATTTTTGTTTCCAGGGAGGCTTAATAGCTGTTTTCCTATGCATTATACAGTATGTTCCTAGGTGTACGTGTGCATGTGTGAATGTTAAACATATCTGATGGGCACCTTCTACAGTCTATGCAGTTCAAGTGCCTAAAACTAAGTCAGTGATCATTTTTTTTCTTCCTATGCTACAATTTCCATTTTTTTAAAAATAGATATATTTCTATAAAAGCATCTAAATGTGTGTAAATGAGTGTTTTTTCCCCTCCCTACACACCGATTTTAACATGCTTTATGATAAATCTATTTGTTACAGTTCTTTCTGTCCTCTACATTCCAGGCACTTTTCCATTTATCAGGCATCACATATCTAGCTTGCTTTGTGAAAGGAAATACTAAATTTGTCCTTGTATCAGATTGGTTAGCTGGAATTCTTTTCAAGGAACTCTTTTTAAATAACTTAATCCAAGAATACTTGGCCTTGTAAGCATCCTCATGTAAGTAGTTACTTTTTAATTGGCTAGTAAGACATTAACTTTGCGACTGTCAGGCCAATTATGTCTGAAAAATAGTTTTCAGCTAATTCAGATGAATGTAATGTGAAGCCTTTAGATGGTGCATCATTGAGCATTACAGGACAAGAATGATTTGATGTCACAAAGAATGGCACTAAGAAAGAAAAATGTCTTTGCATATAGTTGTGATATGTATTATAAATGCAAATGTGACTTGAATATAATTGTTGCAGTGACTATATTAAATGTACAAAAATGAGAAATTATAAGTGGTTGCCACTAACTTTTTTACAGTGTGCTTTAGAATCATAAGCAGAAATTATATTCTTGCCTTACTAGGATTTTACTGGTTAATTTTTATATTGTACAGAAACTTTTTTTGAAAATGTTCTTCACATCAGATAGTAGCCTTTATTCATAACAGGATCATACTTGTGTACCACCCTTAGCCTTTTAAGCCAGATTTGTTGTGAGTAAGGACACAAGTTGCGTGGGGGTTTTTTTAAGCTTTTCCTATTTGTAAATTTAGAAAACTTAGCTGATACTGAATTAAGTTAGAAAATGCTGCTTTACCTAGAAGGCTATAAATCATTCTTTATAAATCATCAGCTCAGTGTTAATCTTGTCTAAATACTTCCTGCATCAAACACTGTGGAGGGTAGAAGAGGTGGCCAAGAAAAGACGTATTCTCCTGCGGAGAGATTCAAAGATAAAAAAACCACACCAAACCAAAACATAAAACCTCACATTGGAAGGCCTGAGCACTTTTATGGCTGATAAATTGAATAATTGGTAGTATATGATAGAGGAATGGCAACCGATCCCGTTTAAACTGTGTCTCTGTTATGTTTTCATGAATGTTTTCAACATGTCCTCAACTTTCTTACTACATTCTTTTCCAAACCCTTTAATCCTGTAGCCACAGTCCTGTACTCAGCCTGTACGTGCTGCTCAAGATCCAAGTCTGCCCTTCTGGCTCCACGGGGAGGGGGAGCAGCTGTCGGAGGGAACCAAGCTCTTTGTCCTTGGACTCTACCAAGTACTGTATTATAATACTAACCTCCAACACTAAACCTACAGTTCTTAGAGTATAAGGTAAACTTACCAGAGTAGTATACTAACGATGTAGTTACATTCTAGTATATTATCTGTCTGTTTTTTACAAATGCAAAGTAACATCCGTATGTATAGGCATTAATCATATGACCAGGGTCATACTTCTTTTGATCACTTGTATTTTGTACTTCTCTTTCTAAAAAGTTTGTTGTTTTTCTGAAAGAAATGCATAAAGTATGTGGCTAACACTGATACTGCAATAAAGTTTCATTCCAGAACATACAAAATTATGGCTTCAGATTAATACCAAGACTTGGAAGGGCTGGCGTTTCCCGGCTTGAGCACTTCTGTGTCTGAAACTTATGCATGTTTATTAAAGTAATTTAGTAAAATTTTTTATAAAGCTATTTATTGTAATAAAGTTCAATTATGATTCTATTAAGTAACTTTTCCTGAAATTTTATCAGAACATTCCTTGAATGTTTCCACCTTACCTCTTTCTGTCTTTCCTGGCTTTTAAAATCTGATTTTCATTTAGTTGAAAGGAACTCATTCAGTTCTTTTAATTCTTCTTGAAGAAGCGAAACAAACACAAACTCGGTCTAGAATTGTTGGGGGGAGGAGCTCTGTACAAGCATATATACACATTTATAGATAATGTCGGAATAGCTAATTCTTGAAAACCTACCAGTATTTATTATTTTAAGATGAAAGCACCTGTCAGAATTTTACTGCTTGTGTTAAGCCTTTTGTGTGCGTGTCTTGTGGTGAAACTTTTCAAGCAAAGATATGATTTCTGACCTAGTATATGGGGTTGTCTAGGTGTTACTGGAGTGCAGTGTGCTGTTCTGCCAAACCTGTGATGACAGGGTGTGTATTGGGAGATTGTTTGGCATTTGGGACAAGTTTGGCAAGAAGTATGTGTTGGCTGGTTTCAGATAGAATGGAAACTAAAATTAATGGTGAAATGCTCTTTTCCTGTAGAAAATGCTGAATTCCAGTGGTGTACCACTCCTGCATATTCACATGTCACATGCTGGTATTTGCAGCCTTGTGAGTGGTGGGGGATTACAGGTAACTTCTTAGAAAGCAAAAGAGGTGAAACCAAAGCTGGGTTAAAAAATAATTTTATCATGTTGCTGGTCAGCTCTGCAACCCGAACAGTCCTGTTCTGTATGTGTTAATTTTGGACTTCTTGCTTTATTTCTAACTGCACAATATTTGTATCAGTGTGGTAATCTTGTTGAATAGCTTTTCTGTTAACTAACACATAGGCAGATGATGTTGTTAACTGAGTTTTGAGGAATAAGCAAGTGCATCAACCCCTCTATTACGATGGTGTAATAGATGGCAGGATGCTTTTCCACACTCTTTATGCTTCTGCCTCTGACTTTAGCTGTGTGTAGCTGAAGTCTTTTTCCTTTGTGACATACTTTCCCTGTCTGGGTGGGCTTTGTCTCCAGCTCCTCCCTGTCACTGGCTGGTGTGTGCACGTTGCACGCTGCCGTACTCCTGCGTACATTTTTTGCCAGCGGGTAAAGGAACGGTGAGCTACCTTCAAAGCCGTGCTTGCTCTTGGGCTGCCTCCTGCTTCTTTATTTTCCTCTTAACTCACTTATTCCTTAACTTTGCTACAACCTTCCTGAAAACTCCTCTTGTTTTTCTTTTGAATCCAATTAAATATAAGGTGATTAAAAGAAAAAGACACCATTATCACATACTTATTTTTGTCTGTTTTAGTACAGGGATCCTCTGTTAATTCCTCGGGCCATGTGCCTGTGGCCTGCCTCGCATCCCCTTGGTGCTGTCTAATCTTAGACTATAGATCACCATGTTGGTCCATAAAAAATACATACAAAATAAGTATTTCCAAAGGTTTTTATTCTGGTATGATTTTAGCATTAAATACCTTTATTCTCTTTAACTGCACACCAAAAAAATGTTTGCCGCTGCTGAACTCTGACTATTTTACTTCTGTATCCAAGAACTGAATATCTTGTGTATAGCAGGCCTGCTGAAATAAGCCTTGGCTTAGTCACTTACATCTGGTGTATGAAACTGTAAATAGGCTTTTTACAGAAAATGCTGCTACTTTTTGGCTTTTTTTCTTGACTATATGAAAGTTAAAGACTGCTGTGTTCTCTTTAATTGTTTTTCTTTAAATTAAAATTACAGGTCATGTTACTACTCTTTTGTTGCACAGTCTACATTGATTTATTCTCTCTGAATACAGCTCTTTAATATGAGGTTGAATTAGATGCAAAGCTACAGAATGGTTAATGTCTTCAGAGTTTACTCTTGTTATTAACTTTTTTGTTCTGTCTTGCTTTTTGCCCCTGATTGTTCTGAATTGGAAGGCTTCCTATGTGTACATATATATATGTAGGCAAATTATTGGGGTTATGCAAAGGGATGCAGATCATGGAACAGTAACCATGACAGTTGTCTAATTTTTTTGTACGTAAATGAAGATTTAGTATAAATGCTGGTACTGTTGAAGACTTGCTTCTGAGGTCCTTGTACTGTTGAATCCTAACAGACACCCCGTTATTAGCTGTATGTATAGCTTTGAAACATGAATTAATGGATGCATATTAGAGCTGTGTAAACAACTAATAAACATAATTGTTTGTATTAAGTTGGCCAGATAACTTCTTCACTTTAGACTCACCATACCATTTTCAGAGTAAGCTTGACAACTTGTTTTTCAAGGTGATAATATATATTATAATAATTTTGAATTTGTTTAGCGTAATACGTTTTGCCAGTGTAGCTGCTCCTGTTCGCAGTGGTTCATGAGCATTGTTTTTAAGCCTGTGGGTAATGATGACATGGACATTTGTCTGGCCTTATCCTGCTGCGATGGTGGTTGGTCAGCAGGGGGATGCTGGCCTCATGAGTGTTGAGCTTGCACCACATGAGGTTGTGCTGGTCACTAAGTCTTCCCTTACTGTTGCGACACAGATTCGTGTTGTGCTTTTAGAAAATACTCAGTTGTATACAGTGTCCTAAGCAACAAATAATGCAACTACTTTGTTGGTTGAGAAGTGTTTATTATTTTTTTGAAAGGCTTTAAATATATTTGACAAGATACTTGAGTACAGGTAGCCGTTGTTGGTAGCACATTCCTAGAAACAGTGTGCTTGTATCAGTATGTGTCGAATCCCTTTTGCTCCAAGATGCCAAAGGTGCCGGCCATACTATTTACACTACAGTGAACAGGCTAGTTGGTAAATGAAGGAAAGTCTTGAACTTTACTTGATACACGAATCTTCATAAGAACTTCCAATATCTTCTTTTTCATCCAGACATTTGTAAAACATGTCTCAAGAAACAAAGTGAGGAGAATTATTAGTTTCTTAAGAATGCGTTAACATAATAAGGGAAAGCTGCTTTCCAAAGCACGTTTTTAAACTGTAAATTTTCTCTCTCCACAGAGCAGTTCTTGCATGTGTCTGCCAGGTGCATAAGAGAAATCAAAACTGCTGTGAGTTAATAAAGTAATAAATTGTCGTCGATCCTTGTGTCGTGCCTATACTTGTTCACGACTAGCACTGTGCAAGATGTCACGAAGGAGCCAGTAGCGCAGTTCCTCCACCCATTGATCGGTCGTGGAGGGTCTTTCTGCTGCACTGGGTGAGGTTTCTCGTTGGTAACCGTTTGCCTGCTGTGTGGTGTGAGTTGATAAGACCACTAAGACCTACTTTTACAGGACCTCAGATATCCGACGTACTTTCCTCCTCCACACAGCTACACTCTACTGATCACCTCTGGACCTCGGCATAAAATACGAACCTGTGCTTATTTATGCAAGAGATAAAGTGGTTAAAACAACTGGTTTTACACAAAATGCATTAGCCGCTAGCTCTTAAGCTTTTCATCTGCTGCAGACGGAAACTCGGAAGTGCACAGTTTTTGAAGTTACCCCTTTTGTATTCCTTTTTTTAATGTATGTAAGACATGGAGATAAAGCAACGTTCAAATGGTATGATACGGGCATTTTTGATACAAGATCTCTTTGGGTTTTTTTCTGGTTCTGGCAGCAGCAACCCAAGTCCAGTTGCAGACAGCAAATCCCAGCGTCGCTTGCCCTCTGGATGTCTTGTATGAAGAACCCTTTAGTGATCTGTGCGCTGATAAACTGCTGCAGCCAAACCCTATTTTTATCAGTGGTGGACTATTCCTTAAAGGTAAACTCCTACAGAGAGGAACAAGCCTGTCTTCGCCATCCTGTGGACAAGAACGGCCTGAACCCAGGCAGAAGTTTTTCTACCATGTGTTTAGACCATTAATTCTTACCTTTCCTGGTGCCTTTAAGGAGAATCCTGGGATAATGCAAAAAATGCATGTATTTTGTAAGTTAGGTAGGTCTTAACTGGGATAAGGTGGGAAAATCCCATTCTTACACGGGATTTTTGCTGCCAACCAGCAGCGACAGCTGCTATTTCATGCTGAGCCTAGCAAAGGAGTGAGAGGTCCAGGACAGAGGGTGGCTGGGGCAGGGAGAGGGGGAAGGCATTTGGAGGTTATCTGGGCTTCAGCTAAGTTGAGATTTAAAATTAAACCTTATTTCTGATTTTCCGAAAGCAAGAGGTCCCTCTGGATTTTGACCAATGGGTTTCTCCTCCCCTTTCCTCCTTGAAGCCCTTAGGGAGAGACAGCTCAGCTTTGCAGGCCCAGTAATGTTTTCAAAAGCCGTTTCTGCCTGGAAGTGTAATACAAAATATATGGTGAGGTACAGATTTATAGAGGTAGAATGAACAAAACTATTGTTTTTCTGTTTGTCAGCGGTGGGCACAGATTTACTGGGAGGACTATGGTTCCCTTCCCACATTAGCAGCAGATGGCAAGGCCTATATATTCCCATTTGCATGGCACAGTTGGACCCATCTGCACCCCACAAACAAATGATAGCGTGACAAGCTGCTCCAGAAAGATTATAATTATCTTTGCTTTTCAGCCAGTCAAACCTTGATCCAAAACCTGCATTATTACCTGTTTCTGAGCACAGAGAGCAGCTCGGGAGCCAGCATTCACATCCTGCCCAGCGTTCCCCTTTCAAAGCCACTGCAAAGGATTTCTTGCTCCGGCTTCACCTTTGGGCTGCTTCCTTCCAGGGAGGCCAGATGGGGGCAGGATCCTCCTTTTTACCAGCAAATACTTCAAACTAAAATCTTTTTTTTAAAGGGAATTTTGCTATATCCAAGGTGATCACTTTAAGCCTGCGCTGCCACCAAAAGAAATCCCCTTCCCCTCTCCCTGCCTTGCAGCACCATGAATGCTTTCATGGGGCTTGGGGACCTAATTGTCATAAAACTCCTTTTATTTGTAACCTTCTGAATAGTTTATAGCTAAATCAGTGCAGTTCAGACTGCTCAAACAGCTTTTTTTGGCAGTGGCAAGGGGTAGAAATAGGTAGTGAGGAGCAGAAAGAGGGTAGAATGGAGATGGGACTGAAAAAGCTGGAGATGTTGGGAGGGTCAGTGTTTGTGGCACTAGTGGTGATTTAGCACCCAAGCCTGCTTTCATGTACAGTATAATTTTGATTAGTTGATGTCTATGCCTAGACTGTGGCTTGCTGCTAAACTGAGATACAGGCTGAGTGGCCCCACTCTGGTGTAGCATTGCACTGAGCATCTCACTTTGGGCAAATGAGAAGAAACTTCATCTGTGGATCTAGCAATGTGTTAGCCTAATGTTTTTATGTCTAATCACAATCCAACAGTTGTTAGCCCAGTTACAGTGATGAGACCAGCCAAGCTCTGAGACTGAGACCCTGCGTTGTTGGATGGATAGAAAGCCTGTGTCCTTTTTTATGGCAATGTTCTATTTGTTAGTCTACAACAGGTAATGTTGACAGCTGAAACCAGCAGTGGCAAACTGGGGACCTGGCAGAGGCTGTCATTGGTGTAAGGAGGTTCCTGGGTAAAGGGCACAGGCTGAAATCATTGGTGTGATACAGATCATCGTAAGACTAAAACAGGACCAAGATCTGAATGCTTGCACTAATTCACCCACCAGTAGCGAGGAACCCAAAGCACGAAGCTGATCAGCATATTGGGAGGGGAAGGAAATCCTGTGTAAGTGTGAAATTTCAAAACCCTGTTTTTAATTAAAAAATCTGGGGTAGTCTTACCTTTGCCCAGCAAAATACCTCCATCTGCCTCAGGTCTCTCTTTTTCAGGCTTCATAGGCATAAGAAACCATTAATGTCAATTTGGTAGAATTAAGGAAAAAGTCTTGGGACAAAACCTGCTGGTTTACGTCAGGTTTGCAGTGACTAATTTGGGTCCAGGGGTGAGGGACGGAGAGAAGCTGTGGATATGGGGCAGCATCACTCGTGGCCGCTGCTTGTCCTGCTGCGCGTGGAGCCGCATTGCAGTGGGGAGCTGACCCGGAGAGTTGGGCAGCCGTGCTGCGTGCCCTGCCCGGGGGGGACCCCATGGTGAGAGCAGACCCCGTCCCCAGTGCTGCCCGGGGGCTGTGCGTGTTCCCGAGCTGCCAGGTCGTCGCTCTGCGTCCTCCTGTGCGAGCCTCTCTGAACAGATCCCCTCTTACACAGGAGGGAAGGGGGGGGGGGCGGGCGGGAAATAGGACCAGATTACAGGGGATGCGGTTTTGAGTCATGCCATCTGTGTGGGTAGGATGTGTCACATAAACTGCCTTATTTCCCAAACTGTGGCACATATAAACTTACTTTCCTGTGCGCTTAACTGTTACTAAGCCTCGCTTGGGCAAATGCTGTTGGTTTCCTTAGTAACAGGGACCTTCAGAAGGAAAAGCAAAAAGCGTCTGGGACGACAGCGGTGTTTTGAGAGTGGTACAACAAAGCATGTCGTGTCCGGTCCCGCTGTCGGTAAGTCCGGAGCAGCTGGTCCCCAAGGTGGAGGCCGGGTGATGCTGGGAGGAAAACTCGCTCATGCCCAGCTTGGGATGGCTGTGCCTGTCTGTGTCCCTGGGAAAGCCCTGCTCCCCTGTTTTAGGCTGGAGATGGTGTTTAAGGAGGTGATATAGCTGCAAGTGATGGACATCCGTGTCTTAAATGGTTGGGTCAGTTCTCTGTGCAAACACACGCTCATAAAATGTCACTAAACTGTGATTTAGTTCTTGTGACCAAACCAGGGGCAAAGTCTGAGAATTGTCTTAAAAATCGAGATCCAAATACACCGTTTTGGCTGAATCTACCCTAAAGCCTTGGTGTTTGATCTGGTATTTAAACCAAATCCCAACTCGTCCCAGAGCCCTCCCTGATTGCTTCCTGACAAACCACCCCCTGCACTGCGCACGGGGCTTCTCCCAGCAGCAGCCTGCGCGTCGCTGTGCCTCAGCACGTGCTCCTCGGCTCTGCCCTCGAGGGCCTCATCCTGTCCCGGCCCCGTGGATCAGGACTAGGTCTGATGCGGATTTAATGCATTTTTTTAATGGTTGTGACCCTGTGTCATTAAGCATGAGGGTGGCCTTGAAGAGCAACAACCAGAAGCATCAATTATTAAACATGGGTAAATGCTAAAAATAATAGATGTTTTAATTCAACATTTGACATTTTTAGATCACCTATGGCTTCTGAAAGAGACCACCGTGGAGCCCCTTTTGCAAGCAGTGGGACAGAAGGGCTCAGCAGTCCTGCGGTGTCGAGCGAAGAGGCTCCTGGCAGCTCCCTGCTGCATTCGTTCCCTCCATCGAGCGGTAGGTACAGAATACTTTCATGCTCACTGTGCGCCTGAATTTATTAACTTATGTAACGAGGGAAGCGCTGCAGCAGTTCGGGAAAGGAGGTAACCGCTTCTCTTGAGCAAGTACTTGATTTGCTGTGCAATTTATTGCTCCCTGAGGGCATTCCAAAGGAACCAAACTCAATGCTGGTACTGGAGGGTTGCGCCTGGTACTGCAGCTCTTCCTGCTGCTGGGGGACAGCGGCACAGTTTTTCCTGCTTTTGAGCCTGAAAACTTGAAATTTCAGCTGCTCAGGCTGTGGCCCCTGCCCTCTGTCAGATGGAAGGAGGTGCAGATCTCTCACTAGTGCTCACCCTGGGGCATTGCCCTGTGCCCCAGCCCAGCTCCGAGTCTCTGTTCCCATGGGCAGGGCATCGTGTTTGCCTCCGTTAAACGTGGTGAGGTTCTGGCCAGCTGTGAATTTGGGCTGTGTGGTGCTCAACTTCGCCTGTACCTAAAAGAAGAGTTGCTTTGAACCTCTGCCTGTAGTTTGGATTTGAGCCTGTGGTTTCACAGAAATAGAGTGTTTCTATAACTGGAAAACTTTTACGACCATAAAGCCGCTGCTACTGTTGTTCCCTTAGAAAATGATGCTTTTAGAGCCACTGTCTTAAGGAAGCAGCTGTAGCAGCCAATATTTTTATCATCTGGCATAAAGATTATAACATTACTGAATTTCAAATTTACTCAGCCTGATATTAAACAAAACTAGTATTTTGGCCTTTCAGGTATTCATGTATAAAAACAGTTTATTCTGATTTTACATGAATGAAAGTTAAAGCACAATTAACTTCCCCAAACTCCTGTTTAAACTTAAGCTTTGAGTTGCATGGGCTTGCTCTTCAGTTCAGCTGTATTTTCAGCTTTTTGTCTTTTTGTTAAGCATTTAGGGTGGAAATCCTGCTCATGCTGGAGTTTTTGTGACTGATGTTAAAAGCTCCTGGGTTTTGCTCTAGAGCTGGAGCCTAATGGATTTCAGCTGGCTCTGCATTACAAAAACGGAGTTACCCCTGTCTGGTCTCTCCTGTGCCAATCGTGTTTTTGTCAACTATCATCTTTCCTCTAAGTCATCAGTTGAATGTACTGCTAAAAACTCGGTCACCTCTTAGCCCAAATAAATGCTGACAATGTCACGGAGTAATTTAATGACCTGTTTCAAAGACCAGTAACCCCTTACTCAAGTTAGTTTTTATATCTTAGGATGAGCTTTTATCAAAGACAGTCACACAGCAATTTCACGGGGACTTCACTGGCCTCCTGCCATGCCTATGATGCTTTCTCTGCGCCTGGCTGCTCCTGGCTTGTGCCCCTGCCCTCAGTTATCACCCGGGAACCTCTTCTGTCTCGTTCAGCTCACTGCAGCATCCATCACCTGCATCACTTCAGCAGCCAGGTCTAGCACGCCAACCCGCAGGCAGCTGCGCTGGCACGCGGTGGGGATGGGGAATCGCCTTCGGCATCCGCAATAAGCAGCCTAGGAGAGAAACGCCTTAAACCATTGTCACCACCAAGGGGTAAAGATTATAGCGCTAAAATAAGTTGCCAATGTGGGAGTTAGGCATTTGGGGCCCAGGTCTCTAACGATAAGTAGCTGCTTAATTCCAATGGATTTCACTGGCAATTAGATAAACACCTTTTAAAACTAGGGCTAATAACAGAGGCTTCCCTGGAAGATGTACGTCACTGTTGACAGCCCGACGGAGATCCTGAAGGCACGTTGCTTGTCAAAGTCTGGCTTT